TGACATATGCATTTTGGACTTATATGAATTTTAAGTCCCTCTTCAGTTCAAAACTACAAATTGTTTAAAAAAAAACACAATTAGTAAGATGACAAATTCTTCGCGTGTAGGTCATATTTACTGACATAAAACTATTGTATAAAAAAATTGTTACACTTATACGTTACCTAAGGTTCTGTTTTTTAAAAAACCTTTGGTGTATAACTGGTAACGTTGGAAAGAGTTTAAAAATACAGCCATTTAAAAACACTTCAAATATATTTTCACATTAATACGTTGATCCTAATATATCAATATATTTATAATTATTACTTTATAACATTATATATTTTTAACATCAAAAAATATAACATGATACTCACTTTTAACAATTGTTCATAAAAACTTTTATAATTACAACCTTTAAAAAAAATGTGTATGTTCTACAATAAAATGTTGCAGCAATAATGAACGTTTTATAGGTTAATAACACGTGGTATAAGGTACCCTGAAGCCAATCTTAGATAGTGTGATGCCACATATTGAAAAGATGATCGTGGGCATGAAGGACACCCACAAAGAATACTACAGATGGAGAGCCACATTCGAAATCTGTTCCAGCCGCAACAAAACCCAGGATGAAGGATTTTGGCGATGTTTACAAAAAACCAAAAAATGGCTAGCCAGGGAAGGCGTCATTGTTATAAAAGCGGACAAGAGCAGATCATTAGTACTCTTAAAAGAAACCACCTACAGAGGTCGGATGCAACAATACATCAACGATACGGAATGCGAGCCGATTAACGACGGATACGTTTACAAACTACAGGCTCAAGTCAAACGCTTTACAAAAACATTGCTAGCCAGGGAGCTAAAATTGAAAGGGATGGTAGTAGCATCACCAGACACACCTAAATTATTCACCTTTGCGAAAACACAAACGAACACCTTCTCTTAGACCCATTTTGGACAAGGCCAGGTCTCCAACACAACTTCTTGAAAAAGTGGTTCATAACATTGCATCGGATCGGATCATATGAGGGATTACGATCTAAACGTCAAAAGCCCCAAAGAACTTATAAAAATATTAAGGCAAACACGGGTAACGGAGTCGGCCCACATCACAGTATGTGATTTTGAATCATTATACCCTTCGATCAAATTGCAACCTTGCTTTTGCGCTCTAAGGGATCTCCTATTGAACAAATTTAGAACACCTACACATCGAAAACAGATATTGGAATTAGCGCATCTTATGTGCTACAACTCCATATTCCAATTTAACAACAAGACCTATTTACAAAAACGAGGGGTACCCATGGGCAGCCCGCTGTCTAGCGACTTATGTGAGCTGGTATTACGTAGATTGGAAGAAACAGTCATACCAAAGTATAGTTCTAATATAATTATTTATAAGAGATATGTGGACGATGTCTTTATTCTGTGGAAAACGAAACCACACATCAATGAGTTTTTGAGCCACATGAACAAAAATCCATACGGGCTGACCCTGAAACTGGATCAATTAATTACCACCAATGCACACTTCCTGGAAATAAACATCATGCTCAACGGTGGAAGTATTGATACAAGTATATATTATAAACCCAGCTACATCCCATGGTTTATACCGGCAAACTCAGCGGACCCGTACAATTATAAAATCGCAGCATTCCGGGC